TCAGAGCGTGAAACAGGTGGTGTGACCAGAGAGCTGTAGCACAAGAAAAACAAGGTGGGTACATAGACTAGAAGTAATACACACAAACATCCTGAGACTCAGACTGAAAACCCCACAAAGGAGGGGGGATGGGGTTGGGGTGGGTTTCTGCTCTATGGCAGGGATGTCAAACTCCAGTTCGAGGGCCGGTGTCCTGAAACTTTTAAATGTCTCTGCTGCAACACACCTGAAGAACATTAGTAGGTCATTAGCAAGACTCTATAGAACTTACATGTGTTGGGTATATGATTTGCACATGTATATGATGACATGTGCAAATCCTTTAAATGAGTTTTTCGAGACACTGACAAATGAAGTATTTATTGCTGAAAAACAGTCATATCTTTGACCTGCAGATAGTCTGTAATATTAGATCAGGTTTCTTTGTGACTAATGATAGCAACATGGCCAAATGACACTGAGAATAACCCACTAAGTAAATGCTGAAATAAGGGTGGATGATCTTCACTAGACACTCAAACGGAAAAGTTTTGGATTTCAGTTTGAACCCCACCAACTTTATTCTTGACTCCAATAAGGAGAGTTCATTTGGAAGAACCGAACATGATTCATTGAGAGTACTTTCATTCACCTTAAAGTGAACAACAGTCTGAAAGGGACTTTCTGCCATGTTTTACAGGCAGTCGTGCTTCTGAAGACTAGTTTTTGTTCGCTTTGTTGTGAATATTTACATAAAACCATCCAAGTGTCTGTATCCAGCACCGTCTGTGCAAAACTCCTTTGATGTCAGAGGTTCAAACATGACAAACAAACAGTTTTCTCTGTCATTGTTGTTTTTTCTTTTAACTCCACAGTCAGTGAGTTCTGCAGCTGAATGACAGCATGGCAGCAGCATCTGGTGAGTCTTACTTTGTCACACTTACATGCAGTACCTGTGAGTTACCTCCCTCTACAAGCACTTTTTGACAATAATTTAATTGTTTCTTGGTTTCTCCTGTTTGGAGAAATGTGAAAAAAATGAAGAAAACGTGATTATTAGAGGATAAACGATGTGACTACAGGTGAATATTTTACAGCAGGTCTCATCTGAGTGTCTTTGCTGAACCAGGCTGCTGTGTTGCATGCAACATGCTTTAACAATGTGTTTAACCAATAACATTTGTCAGAATGTGTTTTCTGAAAATTAAAAGTCACATTTAATAATCTTTCCCAGAACTAATGTGATCTGTTCATACAGTCAGCCGTTGACATTAAAAGTGCTTTGTTCCATCTGATGTAGTCATCGCAGGATAACACGTCTCAGTGCATAATGCATGTTTTTCTTTATCTTTGCAGGACCACAAGACACTTTTCCCAGACGTCGCAGGAAGAGCTTTGATTTTGTGCCCCCCCACAGTGAGTTTTTAAAGAAAAGATTATGTTTAATGCAAACTTTAACTGGGCAATTTAAGGTGGAAGACATTAGACAGGAGCAGGTGAAGACAAAATATAGCAGGAAGTGTGAAGCCTGTTTGGAATAATGAAAACCTCTTAGTGCACGGATCCTGCTTTCTCTCTTTACATTTAAAGCTAATGTAATGTATAGAAAAGTGAAATAAACTATTTTATGTAAACTTTTGGGGGTCATTTCTGGGAGAGGTTACAGCAAATCAAATGTCTCCTTAACTTCATGTTAACAGATCAAACATTCAGGATACCAGTGTTTATGTAGCTCTATGCCACAGACATGAAGTTGGTGCAATTTATTGAAACTGTGATGTATCCTGTAGTAATGATGATCAAAAGAGATTATAGAAATAAAATTGTGCCAAACAAGAAAAAAAAATTGGTCTTCAGGTTCTGTGGATTTAAAACTGAGCTTTTAACAGAGGTTAAGTTTATTTTTCAACTCTCAAACTTTATGTAGTATTCTCACATGTGAATATATATTTATGGCTCAGTAATGATCCATAAATACGAGAAAAAAATAACACATATTTAAACAAACTGACAATTTTTGTGCATTTTTCAGTAACTCAGTGGTTACAAGTGGAAAATGATTAAAATTAGATTAATTCAAACCTATGATATAATGTTGTTGCTGCTTGTATTAACTTTGAAAGATTCTTTGTTCAGTGTTGGTCTTTGCTGTCGTTTCAGTGT